GCGTTGACTATAAAAGAGCGACTTATTGCTGGAGGGAACAAGCTGCAACAAATGATGAATTTGTCAAAGTCAATGTCAATGGGGAACAGAACCATGGTAGATGAAGAAATTACAGTGGGCTTTGAGGATGATGCGTTGACTATAAAAGAGCGACTTGCCGGAGGGAAGCAGCAGCTACAAATGATATCAATTGTTGGGATGCCTGGACTCGGTAAGACTACTTTAGCCACAAAACTGTACAATGATCCTTACATCATACACTACTTTCATATTCGTGCATGGACCTATGCTTCTCAATTACCCAGAAAAACAGATATGTTGTTGGATATTTTACGTTCTGTTAATGTCGTCTTTACCGATGAAATTAAAAACATGACCAATGAGAAGCTAGGCGAAAAGTTGTACAAGCAATTAAAAGGCCAGAGGTATCTCATTGTCATTGATGATTTATGGGATATTGGTGCCTGGGTCAATCTTAAAATGTATTTCCCCAATGACAACAATGGAAGTAGAGTTATGTTTACTAGTCGCCTCAAAGAGGTGGCTATGCATGCCTCACCTGATTGCCATCATCATTGTCTGCGTCCTCTCACTGAAGAAGAGAGTTGGGAGTTGTTACAACGGAAGGTGTTTCAAAATGGACGTTGCCCTCCAGAACTGATTGAAATTGGGAAGCAAATAACGAAAAGATGTGGAGGGCTTCCACTTGCAATTGTTGTAATTGCAGGACTTCTTGCAAAGAACATCAAGACACAAGAGTCGTGGAAACAAGTTGCCCAAAGTGTAAGCTCATACATTGTTAGTGATCCAAACCAGTACTTGGACACACTAGCATTGAGTTACAATCACTTGCCTCGTCACTTGAAACCATGCTTCCTTTATTTAGGAGTATTTCAAGAAGATCAAAAAATCTTGGTGTAGAGATTAATCTGGTTATGGATAGCTGAGGGGTTTATACAAAAAATTGGGCAGAGAAGCTTGGAGGAAGTAGCAGGGGATTACTTAATGGATCTAATTCAGAGAAATCTGGTGATGTACATGTAATACAAACAAATAGACAAAAGAGTCTTCAACTCTCATCATCATCCAAGCTATGTCCTTGGAGGTGGCATACTACCTGTACCTGAAAATAATGTCCCATATAGGGTGAGCTAACGTCCAGTAGAGATATGCTAAACACAGTATGAGCAGTAACTAAGGACATTAGCAATTGATAAATGTTCAATTTCCACCAATCAGTTCATAATCCATTTCTATTTCATATTTCATGTCATAACAATTTCACAATTTACACCAACGGCTCAGAACCTGGCCACCCACTTGTATGAGACAGTGACTCATTTTAAACATTTCCCATTTTACAATAGATAAACATATTAGTTGTATTAACATCTCAACAGATAAGCATACAAGCTGTATCCACATTTCAACAGATAAGCATATTTGCTATATCAACACTTCCATAGATAAGCATATGAGCTGTATGAACACTTCCATAGATAAGCATATGAGCTGTATCAACACATTATCTGACAAGCATATGAGCTGTATCAATGGAGTCCATCCCCTATCTCCTCCCAAACAATATCCGGTTTAGAGGTCCATCCTTTATCTTCCCCTAAACCGTGGAGTACATCCCCTATCTCCTCACACACACACAACGTATATACACATAGGTCATATACATAATCAATCAATACATAACGTTAATGTATTCTATCAACCGTCATACTCTATGACATAACCAATTGATTAGTTTTAGTTTGCCTAATCATCATGCATTGTCTACAACAATCAAAACTACCCTCCACCGGTAGCCCAAGCAATTATTTCTAAACAGATAATAAAAGCTTCAACAGATAAAATATCAATGTTTTCAAGAGTGAGCGATTAATAAATCCAACTCCACCATTTTATCACATAATGAACCAATTTCATTATTTACAACTCAATTTCATAAATCCATAACTTCCCAAATTAATTGTACCAATTAATTTATATACAAATTAGGGCATTCTCCCCCATTTTTCCAATAATGACCCAATGGTCTATATTTCATCAACCAACAACCATACCACTATTTTGAAACCCAAAATACTCATTTTTGAATCAAAATAATAAAACCCTCTTTTAACATTTTGAAACCCTAAGTCCCAAAATTTCCCAACTTCAACACTTTATCAAAATCACCAAAAATCTATGTCAAAGACCATAAGAGTGAGTAGGAATCCCTACCTCAAATTCGGAGCTCAAGGGAAGAAGATGACGGAACTCAACGTGCTCCAAAACTCGAAATTTTCGAATAAAAGGAAAGCCCTCGATGATCAACCCAACTTTTGTAAAGATCAAAGGTGAGGAAAACACCCTAGCTAGATCAATACCTAGAGAGAAGTTGAGGTTCTAGTGAGAGGAGCTCTCTAATAGAGGTTTGGAAAAGTAAGAGACAGAAAAGGAGTTGAAAAAGTGATCCAAAAGTCGGATCTCGAATTTAAATAAAAGTCGCCCCGCTCGAGCGTGGAAACCCCCGCTCGAGCGTCACTCACAGACTCCCGCTCGAGCGTCAATAATCCCACTCGAGCAGCGGATACACACTTCCAGAACTTTTTACTGAACCAGGTTTCCGCTCGAGCGTCACACACAACATCCCGCTCGAGCGTCAAAAACCCCGCTCGAGCGTACAACACTGCAGAGAAGATACTGGGAGATGGAGAAATACGCTCGAGCGCCGAAACTCCCGCTCGAGCGGACAGACAACAACGAAGGGCCCGCTCGAGCGTCAAAATCCTCGCTCGAGCGTGAAGGCCAAAATCTGGGCAACTACTCTTGGTTTCTAAGTTCAACCAACTTGTTTCAAACCTGCCCAACACAACCCAAGAATCGAATGCAAGGAGTAAAGGATGTAAACAAGATATATACAACAACCAACTCCACGGAACCTAAGTTCGAATACAACGATTAAAGGAAGGGAAACCGGGATCGCTATAATACAAAATAGAGGTTTCAAACATTGTTCTTCATTTTTTAAAACTGGTGATCCAATTCTTCAAATTTATGGACAATTACAGATAAGTTAATTTGATTTGCTCAAACTTGTACCATTAGGGACCTTAATGACAAAGTTATTTCCTATGTGAAATAGTAACCCTCGTTCACTTTTTAGATTTTTAGAGGTCATAGAGGCTTTGTTATGAAATTCAAACAAAAAGCTCATTTTGGCTCGTTCAATACCCATTTCAAAAACTTTTTCAAATTTTCTTAAGTTTTCTGACGAAATTTTAATTTCTACTATAATGTTATTATATGTATTACAAATTCAGCTCATTAAATTTTTAAAAATTTCTATTACAATATTATAAAATTAAACGTTAGTATTTTATGATATTCTCACCACTATTTGAATCAATCTCCATTTCTTCGCCACTCTTTTGTTGTAACCAAGTGTTAACTTGGGAAGCTGTAAGCCCGTAGGGCATTTGCTTTTGTTGATTAACATGTAATAATTTTGTGAAGAACTACTCTGATGAATAGAAGAATGTTTATCTTTATTACCAATGCATGTCTATATTGATGTGTTTAATGTGTTATTTTGAGGGCGTTACAAAAATGAATTTTTTTGGTATTAAAAAACAGCTCTGGAGTACCCTTTCAATATTATTTTTTTCTTGTAAAAATCAATTCATGATGCAAGCTCTAATATTGAAATTTGATTACAATTTCCAAACAACTCAAAATCTAAAAAACAAAAGGCAATTTGTCAACAACTACTACATCAATGTGCATATCTTAAACCTAGAAATCAATATTCCACAAATATGGTAAAATAGAAAATAGAAGGGGGTTTCCCCTGACGAAATGTCAAGAACTTCATATAACTCGAAGAATTGTAACTTAGAATTATATAGTTTTAGTAACAAAATTCATATTTCAGTATTCAAAGAGGGTACAGAAAAATAAAACTCATTAAAGAGAGATCTCCAGCCTCTAGCAATCCACGATTGAATCCTTAAACCTCTTTTGATGCTTCTCTTTAATTCATTTATGTGAAGAAAAAAAAAATATATAGGATAGAATTGTTGTCTTAAAGGCATAAGAGCAAGGATAATGGACCATTGAGATAAGGCATGAAAAATCAAAAATTCTTTAACTAGTTATAAGAACATTGAAACAGAGAAAGGATGATGGACCAGTGTTCTATTTTTTTTTTGAATAAAATAGAGTCAAAATTAAATATATTTTTTTTGAATAATTTCATTTAGTAAAGATTAGTTTCACGAAATTTAATTTAGGAAAAAACGTTAATCTTTCCATACACTTAGTATTTTTAATTGAAAATCATATTATGAAATTCATATTTGTCATTTTTTTGAAAGATAAAATTGACTTTAACCCCCTTTGCTTTACTCCATGTGTGATTTACCTTTGATATTTGAAAATAAGAACATAACCCCCTTATGACCTAGCACATGTTTCACATTTGATGTGAACTTGGATTGAACGTCTGACGGTATACTTCATTTTGTCCACAAATCAGAAGAACAATATAGTTATTTCCAAATTATATGGGTAGTTTGCACATGCACATTGAAGTGAAATTTGCCCTTTATTAAATATGCACAATGTCTTGAATTGAATAAATACACGTAGAGGGTAAAATAGTATAGTCAAATAATAGACGGCAGATTCAAGTATACAACCCCACCTTGATATTACCAAGTGAAATACTGAATAAAGGTGTATATATATCTAGTACTATTATAAAGAAAAGTTTTCTCTGAGTGTTTATGTCTCATATTTTGGGTTTTCTATTACATAATTAGATAATTTTCTCAGTTTTATTAGATAATTTCGCAAACTGAGAAATTGTTAGTTTTGTATAACTAAAAAAATAATATTTTATTTTTATGGAATTTTATATTCAATATTGGTCATGTTTGATAAATCTCATTGTGTAGACTTCAAAAATATATATTTTATTAAAAATAAATGTGTATAATAAAATTTATAAAATTTGTAAGTTTTGAAAAAAAAAAAAAGAAAGTAAAATTCCACATCAGCAATACTATTTGAATAAGAGAAAATATTTAGTACTTTTGAGGCATGGTTAGGTGATTTTCAAAATATTTATGATTGATGGGGAGGGTGGGGCCTACAATTTTGTATTAGGGCATAAGGTATAATGGTTGGTGATTAGTGGATAACATTGTCATGTGGTGCACTTGTAACACCTAATAATTTTCTACTAACACTCAAGGAATTGACACAATTCCTTCTTCTTTTAATAAAGAGATGAGTTTTATATAAATAAATATTTTTAAAATAAGATTTTATGGGTTAATAAAAAAGAAAGAGAACTTAATGGAACATGAACATTCCCAATAGGACTTTTAAGTAATTAACCCAATTATTAGGACTTATTCCTTAAAATTTAAGAAAAACAAAAAGAAAATTTGATATTGAAGATTAAATTTAAAAACTAAAAATTAATAGAGCAGCGATGTATACTGACAAAATTTGTATAAATTTTTTGGGTTTGATGCGATCTTTCCCCTAAAAAAAATGTAGATGATTATGATTTTCATTTGTAATAAAAGGCAAATTGAATCCCTAGTCGTGCAGTTTGCTTCTTGTCTCAAATCAATTTGATTCTTGAAGCTTTAATTGTATCAACTTTTATCCTTTAATTTTACACAATGCATGAATTAAGTGCAACGGATAATATCTATTAAGAAATTAGACTAAAATCAAATGCAAAATAATTCATTAAAAAAGGAATAGATCACTCACACTAATCCCTTAATTAGTTTGAGAATAATAAATTGACTATTTTAGTCTTGATTTTAATCCATTTTCTAAATAAAATTGACTTTAAGAGAACATGATTTCTTTTTTTAAAATTGACTTTATGAGAACATGATCTTTTT